TATAAGAAAAATTAAAAAATATGTAATAAAAATTAAAAAAAAATATGCAAGAAAATTTTAGCATATATTTTGAAAAGAGGGGAGGAGTGGTGGGCCCAAAAACGGCTGTGCCTAGGGCCTACGAAAGGTATAATCCGGCTCTGGTCATGTCGATACACGTTTGCCCCATTTAATTTTAAAGCAACACACGTGTAGTATATGACACTGGTTTTCAAAGAATCCTTTTTGGGAGATTGATGTTACACCCAAAACGTGATTACGTTTGTCAAAGTTCAAGTACCCCATCACTTGTTTCAAAATGTTTTTCCAGTTCCATGAATTCATCTGAAAGACTGACTTATTATGAGAAAGTTATTATGAAAATTATTGAAATGCAACATTTCTGATTTAAAGATCACTTATATTCATTTATTGTTAATTTAATAATTATTTTATGGATTTTTAACTGTTTAATCACTTATAATGTGTTATTTGTAGGAGATGCGTTAACTCCTCAATTGTTCATGCAGTAAAATTTTGCATGGCCTATCTAATGAAAAGATTTTTCCTTTTCATTGAATTTTGCTGGATTTAGTGTACATCCGAGGATAGCGTAAAATTTTGGTATGCTTTTTTTTTTTTGAAGTCTATTATTGTAGAAAATGATACAACATAGGCAGTAATTTAAAACAAATTGTTGTTATTTAAGATTTAGATATAGAATTTTTTTTTTTAATTCCTATTATTGTAGAAAAAGATACAACATAGACAGTAATTTAAAACAAATTATTGTTACTAGGATTTAGATCTTGGATTCTAGGATTTAGAAGAAAAATTTTCGTTTCAATTTCTAAAAATTTTACATTTCCTTTCCTTTAAAAAACAGACAGAGCTAAGAGAAAATATGTTATACTTATCCACCTTTTATCTGTGCCATTGCATAAATTTTTCCTGCTTTTGCACATTAGTTAGTCAGAGTTATCACACCCAGAATAAATTACTATTTTCAAATCTTATTAAAATACAATATCACAGGGCATTTTAAAAATTGCATAAAGAATTTGCAAACCTGAATTTATTTAAAAGACATGCTAAGAAATAATAATAAAATGCCTTGTTTGAGAGTAATATATGTTACATATTCTAATACCTCAGACAGTACGATAGATAAATAAAAATATAAAAAATATTTGAATAACAGTATCACTGAATTCATGCAAAGAGTTTTTTCAAGAATTAATATCCAACTACTCTGATAATACCTCCTTTTGGGTTTTCTTCATGTGATGATAATATAAACTGAAAACCTTGCTTTTGAAACTTGGAAGACCATGCATTCAAAATATCCCCAGATTTATCCTAAAAATGAAAAATTACCTCTTAATGAAAAAATACATTTGCATAAGAATAGAAAATAATGTATCATTCTTAAGAAACTAAGTTATGAAGATAAAAATAATATTAACACTTTGACTTACATGGAAATTTTACATTTTGATTAGCATTGAAATAGGAATAAAGCTGAATGTAAATGAAGCAAAAATATAACCTAAGAAAAGACAAGAATCATTTATTGTGGAAGATTCTTAAATATATATATAGTGTAGTTTGCCTGTTTTTTAAGCGTTATTTGTGCTTTGTTTACACTCTTCAGCTATATTCACCTACGGCACTGAGTAGGTGGTGGGAATTTTTTTGTTGAAGTTAAATACAATGAGTTTATTGCAAGTGTGGTAGCTGCAATTTTTTTTTTTTAATTCAGTGGTTGCTGGGTGAGGTTTTAATGATCTCTATTTAAATTTTTCTTCAACATAAAATCTATGAAAAATTTCAACTCCTCCCAAAAGTGGTCGTAAATGGAGGTGGTCGCTACATAGACGTGGTCTTTCTTTGAGGTTTAGCTGTATATATTTCCCCCCCCCCCTTAGAGATTTGGAATTCGAACCCTCAAAATAATAAGGGATAGCTGCTATCTAAAAAATAGGGTCTCAATAGTTAAGTTCAAAAGTTTGGACCCCTTATTGTTAATTTTACTTTTTGTGTATTTTATTATACCTTGAAAATTTTTTAAGTGAATCAAAACATTTTTATACACAATTATAAAATCTATTTATCCAAAGATAACTTATAACATTAAGCATTATTTTTTATTATTTTATTTAATAACAGTCAAGAAAATTTTGAATGGTTAGGTAAATTTTTTCTTACACCATTTCAAAGCCAATAATTTTACAAGGCCAAATACAAAAATTGAACAAAATTAATAGCTCCCGAGAAATAGAATTTTTAATATACAACTCATTTAAAGTTTAAAAACTCAAAAACTATTTGACAGATTTTGTTTAAATAGTTGTACAAATTAGAAACTATTTTATACCTAATGCAAATACATATATTTAAAATAATAATAATAAATTAATAATTGAAAAAAATTGAGGTTGTTGATAAAGCCTCAAAATATAGATATTTAAACTTATTTATTTCAAAATGATGCATCAATGAGCTAATTAAACTCACTCACTAATTAGCTGATTAATTAATTAGGTACTTCAAGAATTATTCATAGTAACTGTTGTCATAGAAACACATTGTTAAAAAAAACATCTAATGATAATAGCTAAAGTCCATACCCTTTCTTCGCAGAATAACATACATTTATGACTATTACCAATTTTTTTTTCAAAATATTCTTCCAAACTCCTTAAATATTTTTATGTTATAAATCATATTTATGATTACTTTTCTATTACAATTTTATTTAAAAATATTTTCAAGAAAGTATCTTTGTCAAAATTAAGACGATAAAATTGTATGTTATGTAAAAATCTTGCCCAACCTTATACAATAAAGAATGGTGCACATTATACTTTACAATAAATGTACAAAACAAAATAAATAATACACAAAATAAATGAAGAACATGGTTTCATAAATACGTTTAAAAAAAATTATGCAAAAAGAATAAACTAATACGAAATGCTTACACAGCTTCCATCATTAAAAACAGATATTTCAACATTTTTCAAAAAGTCTTGAATCAAAATAGAGTTAAAACAATCTTCAAGCCACTGATCTGCATTGTATACAGGTATGATAATAGACTGAAAGAAAATAAGTATGTTTTTAATTACATCAGTTAAAATATTGTACAGAATGCCCCAAAAATGTTAAAAATTTAAATCTTTCAACATTTTGACTTTTTTAACCATTTATATATAAAATAAGTATAGTTCAAAGATTCATCCAAAAAAAAAGGTTTCCACAGGGATATCCATGGCAAGTTTTAGCAAATTCTGAGGAGCAAACAACGAGAAATTAAAAAAAATAATTCTCAAAACAGGAACAACTCGAAGGGTAAACTCGTAGCTACCCACTGGCAGACCTCAACATATTTTAATAAAGCATTTTGCAGGTTATAAAATGCCTTTGACGATTATAAGTAGTATAAGTTTGGAGCTATAAGTAGTTTAAATATATAGTAAAAAAAATTAAGACATCGTAAAAATAATTTTAAGAAGAAACTTAAAAATCTATTGCAATTGAATTTGATGTAAGTAGAGAAAGAACTGCAAACATTCAAGTGACAGATTTTTTTCCATTTTTTGTCTTCTAGAAATTGACATTTTATAACATAAGAAGAAAGTTATTATATAGGTAACCCCTTTAAGTGCATTTCAGGTAGGGAGAGTAATTACAAAACAATAGTTTTTGCCAAAAGGATGAAAAACTATTTAATATCCAGGGGTCTGTCCAGGTCAAATTTACTACCGTTTAGCGGTACCTTCACAAATTCAATTAGCGGTACCTTCACAAATTCAACTTTAGGAAAAACGGTAGTTACACAAATTCAATTTTTGGAAAAACGGTAGCTTCACAAAATACTTTTTCTTAAAATTTCATTTTTGTATCCCTTAAGAAACGATAAATCCATATTTTTGTGTTGATTTTTTAATATAATTTTTAATTTTTCACAAATTATGTTTAAATTTTTACAAAATAGGTACCTCTCAGAAAAACCTAGACAGACCCCTGATATCTTTAATAAAACTATCCATAATTTATAAAAGTATGTTTATTACATTTTGTACAAATCAAAAATTTTTGACTTTAAATTTTTTTAGTGTTATACATGTAATTTTTTAAAAGAAAATTAGGGGGACCGTAATTACACTCATTTAATCACACTAATTTTTTTTAAGCTGAAATTAAGCTAATTGACCTTGGAACATACATTTTATTCAATTAGAGCCACCTATAGTATTTTGTTGGCCCCGTGGCGACACATAAAAGATAGAATATAGGCACCACACAAAATTTATTAGTCACCAATGGTGATCATATTTTATAAGCCCTACATACACATATATTTTACCTGCTGTGTATATTTCTACATTGATACCTTTTCGGACAAATTGCTAGTGTCAAAGCATCAAAAGTTTTTGTACAACTTGTAATGTTCAAAATAAAAAATGTTTGCCTGTGATGGCTACAAGTGGGTCCATTTCTATGATCCTTTTTCTTTAACATGTTACTGCCTGGCAGTTGCCAAGCTTTTGCACTGATACTAATGCAAAAACCTTCCCCATCTGGTCTTAAAATTCCTAATTTTCTTAAATTTTTTGAACCTAGTAACCTAATTTTTTTAAACCTACTACAAACCTTGAAATTTTTTGTTTTAAATCCAGATAAACTTTAGCTTTTCCTTACCAGAAATTAATTATATTTTTTCCTATATGTAGATTTACAAAATACAGTCAATTCGCTATAACTTGAAGTACGATAACTCGAATATTACTATAACTCGATTTTTTTATGAGGTCCCGACCCTTTCATCTTCAATTTATTGTTAATTATTCTCGATTACTCGAATTTTACTCCCTTTAACTCGATTTTTTTTGGATCTTATAAAGAAAGAAAAAAAACCTAGGAGCTGATATCTTGCCCCTTCCTTTGCAACACACACACAATGTCTTTCGCACTCTTCATGGAGAAGCTAAAGCTGTCCCTCTTGAAGTATGTGAACAGTGGTTAAATGAAACGTTACCAAATTTACTTCAAGGATACAGTTAAAATGATGTTTTCAATATTGATGAAATGGGTTTATTTTTTAAATGTCTTCCAAATAAGACTATGATGTTTAAGGATGAAAACTGCTCAGGGGGTAAAATGAGCAAGGAACGTTTGACTGTCCTAGTTGGAGGAAATGCGTCTGGGACAGAGAAATTGCCCTTACTTGTTATCGGAAAATACCAAAATCCCCGATGTTTCAAGAATGTAAAAACGTATCCTTTGGATTACAAGTCTAACAAAAAGTTCTGGATGACATTAGTTTTATTTGAAGACTACGTAAGAAAATTGGATCGGAAATTCTTCGCAAAAAAAAGAAAAGTGATACTCTTTATCGATAAATGCACAGCACATAGTGATCTACCTAATTTGAAAGCAGTAAACTTGCAGTTTCTCCAGCCAAACACAACAGCAAAGTTGCAGCCGATGGACCAGGGTATCATAAAGTGCTTCAAACAGTCTTATCGTAAATGACTGGTCAGAAAAATGATCTTAAATATTGTAAGCAATTAGAAGATTTGTAATTAATAAGCATTAATTAAATAATCCGACAGTATTTCGAAAGTCCAAAACCGAAGCTAACGGTAAGTCGAACTTCCGATATGTCGAAGTTTTTCGTCAGTCCTATCAGAATCGAGTTATCGCGAATTCACTGTATGTAGGTTTACAATCCATTTGGTGCTGAAGATCACAATGTGGAAATATCCCTAATTTTTCAACTTCACCTCCCCCCCCCCAAAAAAAAAACAATTTATTACACCAGGTTTTTTGGAGAAGCATACAGTGGTCAACTAAATAAAAGTAAATCCAAGTACAGCAAACAACTATACAGTGAGTTCCAGTTAATAGTTCCTCCAACATCTAAAGAATTCGTTCTTTATACAGTAGATTATTTATCTTTCCATGCATTTCATGGGTACAGTACATGCAGTAAAAAAATTGCCAAGTTTTGACCGCCTTCTGGGCAGTGGCCTGCTAGAAACTAAAAAAAAGAAAAGGAAAAATAAAAAAAAAAACATCACAGGGACTATATTGAAGAAAACTTGCAAGCAATATCAGGTGAATCTCTATACATTTTTTTAAATAAATAAATAAATTGTAATTTCTAAATTCCTTAAGCTCATTGCGATTGTAAGAACCGATATAGATATATCCCTACTCAATGGAAGAACTTGGAAACAAATGAGCATATTAAGAGTATTTATATCGTAATTAGTAAGAATTCGATAAAATGGCAAATAAATATGAAGGTATGGCTTCAACTATTAAGTTTGCTCAAAAGAGCAGAGAAGCCAGAAGTTTCGGACATGACAATGACTAGACAGTTTTTGATAGAACAAGTAATTGTGACCCAGAAGACAAGGGTTCAAACAGTTTAAAATTGATAATTAACATTAAGTATTATTACAATTTGGAAAGGACCTGCAATAGAATAGAAGCTGTCAAGTGCATCAAAAATAAGAAAACTGTATCAATATTTTCTGAAAAGTAATAAAAATTGAATCAAGTAAAAATAATTAACTGAACTGTTGGCAAGTAAATAAATAAAAAAAAAAAACTTAAAAACCTCCAGTCAAATTTTTGACTACAATTTTATTCAGCTTACCCAATATGCAAAACAAGTTTAATAATTTTCAATAATATTCAGAAAATAATAATCACCACTTCAATGTTTTTCTGCGTCATAGCGAAGGAAGAAATTTTGATAAGTCAGAATTTTCCACTAAGTAACAACTTTTATGAAATACGTATTTTAATCAACCCCCTTTAAATACACTGCACAAAAATCAGCAGCATGCCTTTTCATTTAATTACCGATAATAAGAAACCAAATGCTTAGATATAACTTGCTACAATTTCTAAAATATTAAAATGCTTCCCATCTACACGAGAGATTGTATACTATTCTTTATTTATTATTATAGTGTTTCAGAGTCTAAACATTATCACTTTAAAAATTTTAATCGAAACAACTCTCTTTTCCTGATAAAACATCATGTTGAAATGAAAGTTTATTATTTATTTAACTCTCTTATTTCATGGCAATACATGATAACTAACTGATAAAAACGCTTTGCTTTTACTGTGCGACATTTGTTTGTTAAAAGGTATGCAAATGTTTTCATTAATTAAAACCGAACTTTTAATTTCTCTTATTTTTGGATAAAATATAAATTTTATTAATCATAATAACACAAATAAGTTTCATAAATATTTAAAAAAATAAAAATCACAGTGGGGAGGAAACGTAGTAAATAGAATGTCAACAGAAGCGATAAATCCAAGAAACAAACAAACAAACCACATCACAGGACAAGTGGTGCGGAGGAATAGCAAGAGAGCGACACAAGAAGAGAATTGTGGGATTGTGCCTGCGTGTTACACTTGTATGTGGTGCTTCTAAATTAAATGTATTTTACATACTGTTAACGAACGATCAACCAAGCTAATACCGAATTTTTGTAAGTTTTAATACATATCAGGTAATATTTAATTCTTTTAAAGAATATGTCTTAAAATTGATGAATATTCATTCCCTAATTGTGGTTGATATAAATACTAGCTTTTGCGGCCATTGTGGATCGCTTAGGTTAGATCGATTGCTTGCATATTCACCGTGCTGTAAAATCTGTGCTAGATAATTTTTTTTAAAAACCTTCTGTTAATAGTATTCGTTTTTGACATTTTGTAAAGTAATCAATGTGATTATAATTTTTACTTAATGTGTGGATTATTATGTATTTGGCAGTATAAAGTAATTAAGTAATGCCAAGTTACCTATAGAAATTATATTTACCAACTTCGTTACTTTTAGCAGATTTTACAATAAAATAAAAAAAAATTTCGAATATTCATCAGTTTTCAGCACACTCTTAAACATATTAAATAACCACCTTCACAGTTTTATTTGATATAATTTTGCGGTGTAGATTCGGCTTAATAATATTGGTGTGGTGCCATATTTGGCGACAAAATTTGAGCGATAAGCTTACGCCAAAGTTAGTTGCCTTTGGCTACTCTTCTATTAAGTTGTACAATAACCAATAATTTTGAAAATTGGTTTATTTTAATGTCATCTGAATATTTAAATATTTTTTTTTTAAGTCAGAAAATTGGACTGATATATTAATGTTTTTTCATAGAAATATTAATTTTGTTCAAAATCATATAATAATAAAAAAATAGGTTTAATTTAATGTCATCTGAATATTTAAATTTTTTTTTTAAGTAAGAAAATTGAACTGTTAAATTAATGTTTTTTCCTGGAAATATTAGTTTTGTTCAAAATCATATAATAATAATAAAATAACTAAGCTGTAAAACTAAAATAAGCTGAAAAAAGTTATTTTTAGTGTTAATGAAAAATTTCCAACTAAATTTAAACATAAGTTAAAAATAATGTGCACAATTTCAGAACTGAATTTTATAAAACATTTAATTCTATCAAAATTTAATAATTATTTCAAGTCAAAGCTACAAATGCCATAATGATGTTTAATAATAACAATCTTTATGATTTGCACGTATGAAAGATATTTATTCTTTTTCAAGTATTGCAAGTTCTTATTTAGGATTATAAAGTGAAATAATTAGAAAATTTTTCACTAATCTTTCCAAAGTTATAAAACACAAATTTAATTTAATTAAATTTAATTTAATAAACTATTACTATTTCAATATATTTTGATTTCTATTATAACACATATGCTCACTTATTCACAAATTGTGTAAAATCAAATTAATTTTTTTGTTAAATAAACTTGTAAAGCTAAAATTTTAATCCAGAAAGGAATTTTGTTCATAGGGAATATTAGGCTCTGAGAATTTTCTGCACTCTTGTTTATATGTATAATGCATATTTCCAATATTAGTGAACTAATGTTAATGTATAATTAGTTCACTTATTTGTGAACTCATTATAATTTATAAATAATATAAATGTTTGTTTTAACTAGTTAAAAATTTATTTTAATCAATCAATTCAAGAGTTTAATTAAATTACTATTAATAGCTAGTTATTAAAACAAATTTTATGTAGTTTATCATACAAAAAGGATACTTTTTTATTGTATTATATATATTGTATTATATTTGATTATATATTAGTTTTACTAATTTTTATAAAAATGAATAATTTATTGAATAATGCAGGGATGAAAGATGAAAAAAGTTTCAAGAGAATGAAATTTAAGCTTTCTTGACCTTTTAGTATAGATATGTAAATCAATTTTAACAGAAAAACCTCGAAGCTTCTCTGAGGCTTTAACGTTATCCATTCACTTATTTAATTTTTGGAGTAAAAGTCATCTCCTAATGAGAAGAAACGAAAAATCGCTAAATAATAACAAAAGTTATTCACGACTCCACCTTCTTGAAGTGTAACTGCTTCGACCTAAATGTAGCAACTAATTAGGGACGAAGGGAGTAATAGTAGGCAATTAGTCAAATTTTCATTTTATGATGTAGCTAAGTTGATTGTTAATCAATCTTAAAGCCAAAATGTAAATGTGACTTTAATTTACAACTGAATCGTCGCTAATGAAAAGGGATTTAATTTTGGAATTCACATGTTCTAATAACATAGTATTAAAGCTATTGGCTGTGAAACCACTTAAAAATGGCTGAAAGAGCCATCAATAATTGATTGCCCGATTTATTAAGATGTGTTAAAATATGTTATTCTTCTGCTTAAAACTTAAGAAACATCTTCATTACCTTTTTTGAAGACATGATGCGTAAATGAATTATTTAGCACAACAGAAATGTTCTCAAAGCATCACTCAACCTTTTTTCAGTTACGCTTTTTGGTGTCATCAGTATACTTAATTGCAGAGTGCATCGGGTAAAAGCCAATACATAATCACTCGCAAACCACTCAAAAAAGTAAAGATTGATCATGTGACGTCAAACATTGGAATGCAAATTCAAGCATTAAGAGACGTCAGCAGGAAACGCAAGGGCAAGTTTTGCCATCTGAAATTGAAAACGCCGCTCTTCACCGGAGTGCAAAATCAAGCGCTCACGAACGGTGTGAGAAAGCAGAAATGTAGTTGCATGATGTCAATGGGAAAAAGGGGTGTCAAATTTTAACTGTTGTTGAACATATGACCCAATTTTTGGGTTCACAACAACTACTGTGCAACTCTGTTACCTTGTAATTCTGAACCCAATCCAGAAGTTAAAAGAACACCTGGATCAAGGTATTGAAAGAAATGTGCCATTATTTTTATGGTACTAACCCGCATTTGCATTACATAGAGAGGAGAATCTTGGTTAACTCGGTACCCACGGTTAGCCTAACATCAAGGGGACTCTAACCCATGATCCATCTACCATTGAGGTTATTTTACGACAGCGCTGTGGTCGATGTGAGCCAGGTGAGGAATTCGTATCGACCAGCCATCGCTGGGATTCGAGCCTGGTTTACTTCATTGGAAGGCAAACTTTTTATCCCCTGAGCCACCTTGTCTCAGGGTGTCAAATTGAAATAAGGTAGCAAATGATAGTCATTTTTTTTGGTGGCAACTTAATTTTTTTAGTCATCACGTGGCGACTGCTCATCTTGTCCTTTTATTAGAGAGCAAAATTCAGTAGCAGTTACTAAAATATATGAAATAAGTATGGTAAAAAATTAAATTATGTTATATGAAATTATTGACTAATAAATGTTGAAATTATAGGCTCTCGTTTCGTTCATGACCATTAAAACATTTATATCCTGAATATAATGCTTTTCGGTCTTAAAAATCAGTGATCTTTCTCTGCTCTTAGGCTCATACATGCTAACAGAAACATTTGCAATTTATATATTCGGAAAAAATATATAATCTTGATGCAATTTAATCTGCTATCAATTATCTTAAACGTTTTAGTCACATAAAACAAAATATAAGTCTGTAATATTTGATTGAAAATATCAGGCATTGAATATATATATTTTTGAAAATTTACTTCAATGTAACCTATTGAAATTGAATGATTAAAGATTATCTCATTGCCTGTTGTTGCTTGTCGTCTCGTTGTCGAACAGCCGGCCGAATTTTCGGATTTACGATTACCAAACTCCATTTACGTTACATGGAGTGTAAAACCGCGAAAACCTCCCTCGGTTAGCCTGATGGCAAGGGGACTCTGGCCCATGATTTGCTGCCACTGAGGATATCTTATGTCAGCACCGTGGTCAGTGCAAGCCGGGTGCAGAATTGAAATCTGCCTGTCATCGCTGGGATTCAAACCTGGTTCTCCTTATTGGTAGGCGAGTGCTCTATCCCCTGAGCCTCCACGACTTCTCTTACATTACTTACCACATAAGGGTGCTACTAGAACAACCCTATATTTCATCAGTTGAGTTTATTATATACAAGACAAAATTAATGGTTGCCATTTCACCACCTCTTTTTTTAAAATCAAAAATGTATCCCATGTTAATTTTATTATTTTTTAATAAACTATTATACTTAATATTCTGAAAATTATTTTATTTCACGCTTGTTTCTTAAAATATTTTGTTATAGAAATGTTTTCAGAAATATATCGTAAGAAGTACTTCACTTTATTGATATAATTTTTTTTATCATTTAACATAAGTGGCTATTGTTAAGAATGCTACAAATTTCCTGCAACAAAATTTTCTAATTTTGCCCTATGCTGTTACAGCTTATATATTTTTCATCTATGGAGTGTAACATCTTGTACACAAAACATCATACACTATATCCCTTGAAATTTTCCTAAAGAGATTTTAAATCCTTTTTTTTAATCAGTTTCTTATGACCTTCTATTTTGATAATGTTCTTAGATTTGATGAATGTTTTATCAGTGCATTGTGAACAATGATAATAGATTTTATCTTGTGATTTCTTCCACATGAAGTGCTCCATATTCTGTCTGGAGCCATTTACAAAAACTGATGTTATGTAGCAAATTCTCTGAACTTGCCATTTCCGACGCAATGCTCTCTTTTTAAAGTAAAGCGTTTTCACTTTCAAGTGATGTAAGTAACTTAACAGTTTTTTGTCTAAGGGGATATCAAACCTTTTATTTTTACTTACAGTTAGTCACAAAACAGGGCTTGCAAGAAAAAAATTTCGAAAATTTTATGTATTAAAAAATTATTTTAATACATTACATTTTCACTTTAAATGTAAAACTTAATCTCACAAATATGTAGTTGTAATTCCAAAAAAGAAAAAAAATTGCTGGCATGTTATCTGTTGTCTTTATTTTTGTAGATTTTGGAAAAAATGCTGGAAGTTAAGTGCGCAAAATGAAAAACTGACCTTCCTTAGTAACTTTTGATCTAATGATCGGATCTTCACGTTCTAAGACTCAATCTTACTGGTTCCAGGGGGTGACCTCAGATATGTTAATTAATTAGTGTAGACGATATTTTAAGTTACGAAATCAGACACAAAAACGTTCTTTCTCTGAATAAACATACCTTTTTTTCCCCGACGGGAGC